ACTATCTGGTGGCATGGAATCCCACAGCCCAGCTTCAGGTTATAAAGATTTGCCACATTTTATCTGTTTTGCATCTGTTACCTGCTGGGTTTGTTTGCTGCCTCTAGGTGAGAAGAGACAATGAGCAGTTAGTTCCCATCTGCCCTTTTTACTCCTTTCCTGGTTTTAGATCTCTTTCTTATTCCCTTGGTTCCCCTTCTTTGGCTTAAGGCACTAAATTGCTTCTGATCCAGAATCTGTTCTATGCCTATTCTAATGTTGTTACATTTTTTGAGACTGGGCTTGGGAAACCAAGACTCTGCACAGTATTTGAGGTCATACATGGTAGTGGTATAATGATGTTCTGTCTGCTGTTCACTCCTGCCTTTTTTAGAGTTACACAGAGTTTGTTGCTTTGCACACTGTAGCACTCATTTTCATTTGGAATGGTGCTGCCATTTAAAATCTATTTTCTCAATCTTATGGAGTTTTTATGTCATTCTTCACAGCCTGCCTTCATCTGCACTAACACATGGTATCATCAGCAAATTTTGTGACTTCATTTTCTCCTCTTTTCTTCTCTTCTGTTTTAATTGAGGGAAGAGATTAAACAGCTAGAACCCCAGAGAATCGCACAGGTTGTTTCTTTTCATGTGAAAACTTGCAATTTACTCTTTTCTTTCTACTTTAAGATAATTATTTATTCATACAAAGCCTCCTCTTCTTTTTGCTGCTCTGATGTCTTGGGTGGGAAAGGGAGTGGGATGTCAGTGAGAGCTTTTGGAAGTGCATGTAAATGATATGAACTAGATCCTGCTTATGTGCATAATATTTTGCTTCTTTCAAGAAGTTGTCTTAGATCACACAGATCCTGAACTCTTGTGAGCCTCTGCTTTAGTTTTTATTAAGATTTGTTTCCTGGGGGATTTTTTTGTGTGTGGTTTTGGAATTTTTTCTTTTTGAATCATTGTGTATTTTGGTATTTGTTGGCTTCACCCTGCTTTTCATTTGAAAAAATTTGTATCTGTCTTTGATTTCAATAGGCTGCAGTTCATTTATGCATTAAATGAGTTCTGTTCTTCCTGAACAGACACTCTGTTCCAGAACCAGCATTGATTTCAACAGATCCTTATCACTCCTTTCTCTGTGACACATTTTAAATTTTGAAGACATCATTTAGCCGTGGTCAGATAATTCTGCTGTTTGGTCAGATGTTTTTATTTTAAAATGTGACTAGTATTGCATAGTGACTAGTATTGCATAGTTATGCCAGGGAAATAATGTAGAATATTATTCTTTTTGAATCTGGTTACAAATACCTTGCAGTGCAGACTCCTTGCTATCAGTATTCTATGGAGATAAGCTGAAAGAGTTGGGGGATTTCAGCCTGAGGAAAGAGAAGACTCTGGGGAAACCTTATAGCACCTTTCAGTAGCCAAAGAGGGCTAAAAGAGAGATTATGATTAACAAGCGGATTTAGGGTATAATATTTGCACTTGCAGCACTTCTTTACAGCCATGGCAATCTTAGAAGGATCATGTTAATTCCTTGCTATTCTCATCCTCCAATTTAATCTCTAAGACTACAGAGTATTTTTCTTCTGTCTTCAGTAATGTTTTGTGTGATTGAGAGAGGTTTTAAATTAACAAAATCATTCCACCAATAGAATCTTTCCTGCTGAAAACTGGTCATCTTCCATTCTTTTCTATTTTTAGTCTTTAAATTTCACAAATGAGAAAATATTTATTTTAGATTACAGATAGGATGTGTTTTGATTCTGCTATTCAATGAATACTTGTAGGAAAAGATGATTGGGATAATGAAAAGCTGAAAGATACCTTTTATTTAAATAAATTGATTTAGCTTTATGATATATTTGAGTGGTAGGAAAGCATAGTTGGTTTAGTTCTGCCATTTTCATAATAATTTCACATTTTAAACAATAAACAGTATTGTTTAATATGTGCTTATCATGACTGTTACCAAAGACCATGTGTAAGGTTTACTTGAATGCATAATTTTCATCTACTCTGTATTTGAAGGCCAAATGATATTTGTAGGTAACATAAAAATTATTCTCAAGAAAAAGAGTTTTTTATGTTGAAAGTAACTCAAGAGTTATTGCAAGTGGTTTGATTACTATTCATGGAATAAAAGGAGGTTATTTTCAGGGTAAAGGAACTTGTGAAAAGATAATTGGTTAGACTAACATTCTCATTGACATAATTTGCATTAAATATACTACTGTGAATTGTAGTTATGCTTTTCCATTTGAAAGGCATGCTTTGTTTGCCTACGTTAAGAGTCTAATTAAACTGCAGTTGAAGTCATACTCTTTAATTCAGCAATACAATATCAAGCTGAGAATCTGTGATAACCAACTCTGTGAGTGTGGACAGTCATAAACCAGTTCTTGACCCCAGTGGATTTTTCCACATGAAGTAGTTTGATTTAGCTAGTTTACATCTGATCATTCTCAGATACCGAAAGCATTTAACTAATCCTTTAGTTTAATTTTATTATTTTATAAGAGTAGAGAAACCTATGTCCTCCTTGATGCAGTGTGAGCAATAACTAGAGCAGTCTTGGGAATATTGGAAGAAAGTATTTGTTCTAGTAGTAGGAAGACTTTGAGGACCATTTTAGTTTTGGTAGGACTTCTTTCCAAATGTAACTTAATAGAGCCTTTAAAATATTATCTGTTAAAACATTAATTTGCACATTTTCATACCCATTTTATAATCAGGAGACTAATATTTTTATTTCTTTAGTTTTCAGAATTAGTTATTATGTATTAACAGTACTCTTTGAAACAGAGGCATTTATTTCCTCTTGTGCAATGAAGGGGGAGGTGCTTTTGTCAGTGAGACAGCTGTGAGTGCTCAAGTTAAGTGTTTGCATGTGCAGATAGATGCATAAAGATATTGTCTTATTTTTCCACACTGCTGAGCATCCCTAGAAAAAGCATGAAATTTGATGTTTTTCCTGTACGAACTGAACATTTGTAAAGTTAACCACCTTATTAGATATCTAATTGTCAATTTCAGTGCTTATTTTTAATTGCTGGCACTTCTACTGTTTGCTAGGGGCTGTTTTCAAAACAGTAATCTCTGACAATGCTGAATGTAAACCAAAACATAGCTGATCAGGCAAGGTTCTATATCCCCACAATGCTGCTGAGCCATGTTAGATAAAGCAATTGAAAACAAAGAAATACATATTCAAGCTGGACATGGTAATGGCCTTAAATATTTATACAAATATTCAGCTGAGAAGGTAACTTTCTTGCTGTAATGGTTCTGAAAATGATAATGGTGGACATGCCAGGTACTCAGTGTTACTAGCATATGACTATATTTGCATACCAAATCACAATACTTGAAGTGCAATGAGCTAGAAGTGCACGTTAGATATTAAAAAAAAATTAAATTCCACCTGAAGGATTATTAGATCTGTTGTTTCTCATTATTTGGCAAAGAAATAGCCAGTTGCTATGCCATTTTGCTGCTTATTCCTTTTTTTTTGTATAACAGAAGCCAGCTGATGCTTGCACTATTGAGTGAAACTGCTGGAAGGTTGCACTCTCCTACATTTTGGGAGAAGAAGACAATGTTAAAGAAGCCATTTTGGGGAAGGCAGATTATATGTTCAGATTTTGTATGCAGGATTAAGGGCATGATTCAGGAATCATCAGAAGTATGAATGGCGGTTAGGATGTCAAGAGCCAAATGAAAGCTAGATGATCAATTGTTGGTAAAGCCATTGGAAACTTCCTCTAGGGCATTCATTCTCTTTTAGAGAGAGCTCTAGCTTCTCAGCCAGCTGCTGAAATAAGTGACAGTGATTTACAGATGATCACAGAATGGGTCAGATTGGAAGGCTCCACAGTAGGTCACCTGGCCCAATCTCCCTGCTCAAGCAGGCTGGTCCCAGAGCACATGGCACAGCATTGTGTCCAAATGGTTCTTGAATATCACTAGTGAGAGAGACTCCACAACCTCCCTGGACAACCTGTTCCAGTGCTCACAGGAAAGAAGCTGTTCCTCATGTTTTGGTGTGACTTCCTGTGCATCAGTTTCTACCCATTGCCTCTTGTTCTATTGCTTGCACCACCAAGGAGGAGAGCTTCTTGACACCCTCCCTTCAGATGCCTACAGAGAGTGATGAGATCCCCTTTCAGTCATCTCTTGCAACCCTAACCTTTCATGTTTCCTCTGTGACAGACCTTACTTATTTTTTTGAGTTACTGGAGTTCTTGTTTGTTTATTTCAGTAAATAAATTTGTGGGCCTGTCTTCTGTAACACAGCATAGGACTGTTATTGCATAAATATTGCATTTCAGGCAAAAGGGTAGTAAGAAAAAGTTTCTACTGGCTTGAAGGAATATGGTAGGTTAGAAGATTCTGTAATTCTGTATTTAACTTAATTAATCCTATTTAAGGATTTCTTTTAATTAAGTCCTTTTGCATATGAATTGGAATTTGGGGTTCAGTGTGTTTTTCTGATGATGTGCTGGAGGAGGGAGCAGTAGGAAGAGAGAGACTATAGCTACCAAACAACAGGAAATCTTTATTTGGCTTTTACAACGTGATTTAAAAGAATATTTATAATCCATTTTTAGAAATATTCCCATGTTGGTAAGAGAAAATCTATGTACAGAATTTTCAAAGCTGTTCATAAGACATTCACACCATGAATACTGTGTGTATTCCTAATATGTTGTCCAGATTGGACATTTGAATGAAAATCTTGCATGTTGGCATGGCACATAACATCTCGTCATTCAGTTTTGTATTGGTTGCCCCTTTTTAGTGCTGTTTTGCAGTAAGTGATTAAAAGACCTATAGAAGTTTGGCACAAATAAGTTTAATATTGTGAATACAAGCAGCATTAATATTAACTGAAAATTTTTGAAGAGGTGAGATTTATTTCTTGAATTTACTTCTTTGGGCTCGGGAACTTCAGAAAAACATCTTTATTCTTTTTTTAAATAAATATATTTTTTTATTTCTTTTCCTTAGGAGATTCCTTTACACAGTTTCGATTTGCTGATGAGAAAGAATGGGATAAAGAAAGTATATGCCATAAGCAGGTAACAGAATTATCATTCAAATGATTTTATATAGATAATCACCTGGGACAGAATATCTAGGCAGTTGTGCCTTCAGCAACAAATTCTTAATACAATAATAGCACTCTTTATTCTGTATATTTTTATCGACTTCTCTCTAATGCTGGAGGCTCTTGTCCTTGGGCATTGTCCTTTTTTTCTACTGAAGACTAATCAAAGCCTCAGGCTTGGTTTTAAGTTATGTTGGGAGGAAAGAATAAGAAAGCCCTCCAGTGAAGAGAAATAAGACTGTCTCTTTGCTTTACTGACTCAGGAATTCAGCCTTCCTTTTTCAGCTGTATTCAAGAGAAAAGTGTTTAATAGAATGACTATAACAAAACCTGTAGGAATATATTCATATGTTGGACTGTGAAGCGTTCTAGTTCCTTCAAATAACAGTTCATATCCTCTGGTTGAAACATCATGCCCTATATAATTAGGACACCAACTAGATTTTTTGTATGTGAATTCTTTATGCTTGAATAAAAAGGAGGGTAGCAGTAGAAGTCTCCTGTTTTCTCTATCAGGATACCTTAAAGTGTCTCAATGTCTGCAGCTGTCTTCCTCATCCAAGTTGCCTAAATTTTTGCAAAGTATATTTAAGAAAAGTCTTCCAGACTTTTCTTAAAATTGCTGTGACACTCTGCTTGAGTGTCTCTTGTAACATCCACATGTATTCAAATTTTAAAGATTTGCTATTTATCTTCTAAAATACTACAATAATTATTCCCTGGGAAGTGGTATTTAAAGATACTTTAGAGTTGCAAAGTCAAATTAAAGTGAGGAACTAAACCCAAATACAGCATTTGTCTAAACCACCACCTGTTTCTTTAGTGGAACACAGGATTTCAGTTACTATTTTTTCTTATCAGTTCTTCCATTCCTAGTGTGCAAGATGGTGTCAATATCCCAAATATTAATTTTTTCATAATTTCCTCAGAGGATTTTCATTATAGCATTTAGGTCATTAGAACACAATAATTAATTCCTGAATGGCTAAAGCCATTGTGAGCAGACTGAAGCTACATGTTGTCACCATTACCCTTCCTTTGGTTTCTTATTTTAATCCAGAATCCTGTCCCAGATGGTTTCACAGCATTATCTAATTTTCCACATTGTCTCTGATCTTCAGCCTGATATCTCATGTTTTTTAATGACCCATCTTTCTTTTCCCTGTAAGGCAGATCGAAGTCCAATTTTTATCCTAGATTCCATTTGCCAAATTCCTGGCCTTTGCCTCTTAACTCACCTCTTTCTAGTTCTTTGCCTGTCTACACATTATGTACAGGATTAAGAATTTTAAACTGAAGTATATTGGTTATGAGGAAACAGAGTAAAGCAGAAAAGACATAGAACTAGTTGCAGAATTATTAGATATTTCTCATTCTCTATCTTTTGTAGAAAGCAATGGCAAAGCATCAGTTTCAAATGTGGAATGGAAATGTTACAGTGACATCAACAATAACAGAATTTCAATTTATTAAGAATACTGTCTTTCATTTTCACAAAAAGTAGGTTTGCATTTGCTCCATTTCATATGATAAAATGCAATAAAAATCATGGTCTCATTCATATCATGGTCTGCAATTGAAAAAGCACAGTTATTAGTCATTTGGATTTTTCAATAAAAAATGGTAATTCCAGCAACAAAGTATGCCTCTACAATTCTTTTGAGCAAATAATGCTATGTGCCATGAAGTGTTCATAATCTATCAAGTACTGCTTTTGTCCCTTTGCTTTTTATTAGAACACCACTTTTAAAGTCTCTACTTAGATATCAAATTCCTTCTTCTATTATGTTATTTCTCAAAATTCCCCTTTTCCTTTATCCTCAACATTTCCTCCTCTTCTCTATCCCCACTTTTTTACCTTCGTTTGCTATGTTCATTCATGTTAATATTTTGGCAAGTATACATAGCTCCTCCAAAATGCACTTAAATATTTGTTATTCAATTATACTTTTTAGAATTTTTTGTGTTACAAGATTCAAACAATTTCCTTGTCTTTTGCAACTGTGCAGAAGCTACATTTGATCCTTAATAACTGTCAAAATAACTGTATTTTCTGAACATCTCGTTCATTGCTGGGCAATAAGAATTATTTGCTGAAGACTTTGCGAGGTTACTTTCACCAGTCAATCATTTTTGATGGTGATCACTAACCCATTGTAAAATGAAGTTCTCAGTACAGAAGATAAGTCTTACATCAGATACTTTTTTTTAGTCCTTTTATTCTCATTAAAGGATATCAGAACCAGTATTTGAATATAAGAAACTGTTGAATCAACTGCATTGTTTCTTTTTAGAATTTATTTTAATTTTGTAAATATACTGTGAGAACACACTATGTCTTTGATGTTCGTTCTTGCTTCATGTGCAGGTGTTAAAAGCCTGTTAAAAGGTGTTGACTGGCTTTTGGAAGCAGTATGAATTTCTTTGACAAATCTCCTATGATATGTCACAAAACTCTCCTAATTTGTGAGTATTTGGACTTCTAAATGTCTGTGCCAGTCTACATCATATTGAGAGGGACAAATTTTTGTCTCTTAAAGTGAGATTTGGAAGCAACTTCTCTACTTCCATGAAAATACAGACTGAGAGCATAGACTGAACTTAAGCATTTTGTTGCCAGATTTTAAAATATGTGATGAATATCAGATTTATCTTTGCCAGTTTATCCATGGTGGATGTGTTCAGAATGTTCTGTTGTACTCTGAGCTTGAAATCTGTTTTAAAACTACTGAAATCTGGTCTGTTCTGTAGAAACTACAAATACCGCTGGTCCATTTTGTGTGATTTTCTTTTTTAAAAAAGGGTCAAGAGAAATGGCAACTTCAATACCTGTCATAGTAATAAAAACTCATTTAGCAGCAGTAGTATATCCTTCTCGAGCATCATTTCAGAAGTGTTTGTAACCATGTACTTTATTGCTTTTGGAAGTATCAAAACATTTGAAAAGATGGGGAAGTATGAAAAGGCCTCTGTTGAGACATTAAATTTAGCTGCACAGGAGCTGCATGGGATGATTGCTTAGGAAGTAGTGGCAACTCATTAAATAATGGCATTTCACATTGCATGAAATCTTCACAGTTCAAAAGATGTTTCAGTTGGGAAAGCTTCTTGTGCCACTGTCAACTTCCTGAACTATTTCCTATTTGAAATTAAAAGGTATTGTCTAAGGAGCATTCTATTTATACCTTGTTTTTTAACCTTAAGTGGTTATATGCATTTTAGGTGTGTTTATGTTATTATTTAGCCAAGCTGCTTCATAAAAGTGTATTTTAAACTATTAATTTGTGCATTTCATTAAATTTCTTGAATGCATGTGACAGGAGAATGTAATAATTAATTTCGTGAATGGTTTTGTGTTTGGTTGGTTGTTGTGGGTTTTTTTTTCACAAGTGTACTTTACTTATATGTTGAATTATGTTTCAGTTCTCTGCACTTTCTGTTGACTGCCAGTCTTTGGTCCAGGCCCTTCAGGAATTGCCTCTACATCTAAGGCTGAATATAGCTGCTGACCTTGTGCAGGTAATGCTGTGAAATTTCACAAGAAAATGCAACTATTTTAGGAGAAATAGTGTGTGCAAGAATGATTAGTCTTCAAACAGAAGTAGACTGTATTATATAAGTAAATGCATTCATTTAGACAGGTGTGTCAAGTGGCATGTAATGCAGGATACCTCTCTATTGACACATTTTGTGTGCCTGTTTGGCCTTAAACAAAATGTCTGGATGTGCAGTATATTAGATTTGAGATTGAGTATCAGAGTGTTTGACATGGAATGATTGCACTGTTTTTGTGTTTGCTTCTCTTGTTAGCAGCTGTGAAAAGTTTGCACCAAAATTTTTCAGTGCTTTCACATTCTTCCTGCTAAGTATACTAATTGTGATTTAATCTTCTACGTAACTAATATCAACAAACATGCTTTTCTCCATGAATAAATCCTTAGAGGTAAAACTGTCAATTGTACAGGTGAAGAAAGTATCATTTATTCACCAGTGGCAGGATAGGAACAATATTAGTAAAGTGTTCCTTCAAACTGTGAAAAAGAAAATACTAATGTAAGGGAAGAAGAGCCAGTGAGACTTAAATATAAAAAAAATTCTTAAAAGGCTCCATTTGTCCAAGCAAGGAAAAGTATGGCCCTTACAGAAGGATTAAGACTAGCCCTAGGGAGAAGGACTTTGGGGATGTTTGTGAATGAAAAGCTCAACATGACTCAGCAATGTGCAGCATGTTTCAAAGGAAACCTGACCATCAGGTTGGGAGAGGTGATTCTCACTGTCTGCTCTGCTCTGCCTTTGTGAGATCCCACCTGGTGAGTTGCATCCAGCTCTGGGGTCCCCAGCACAGAAAGACATGGACCTCTTGGAGTAAGTGTGGAGGAAGGCCACAAAGTTGATCAGAGAGCTGGAGCACCTCTCCTGTGAAGACAGACTGAGAGTTGGGGCTCTTCAGGCTGGAGAACAGAAGGTGCCAGAGAGACCTTAAGCACCTTTCAGTACCTACAGAGCAGAGCTGGAGAGGGACTTTTCACATGGGCATGTATAGATAGGACAAAGGAAATAGCTTTAAGCTAACGGAGGGTTGTTTTAGATTAGCTATCAAGAAGTTCTTGACTGTAAGAGTGGTGAGGCACTGGAACAGCTTTCCTAGAGAAGCTATGGACTACCTATCCCTGCAAGTGTTCAATGAATGCCAGGTTGGATGAGGCTTTGAGCTATCTGGATTAGTGGAAAGTTCCCTGCCCATTAGCAGGCAGCTTAGAATAGGTAATTTTTAAGGTCCCTTCCAAACCAAACCATTCTATGATTCTGTCAGTGCTAGTGTTAGCATACATTCTCATATTCTGTAATAAGAGATAAAAGGAGTTTGTATTTTGCATTTGCTATTGCAAAAGTATCAAAATAACTTTAGTTTGCTTTTACTTCTGAATTTGATTCTGCTCAAATTTCCTGTACCTTCATAACTGATCAAGTATAGCAAGTATGAATTATAATCCAAATTAGACAGAATAGTAATAATAGATAATCATTATAAAGACTCAAGTCCTTTCTTGTACTCATAGGCATCAACACCTCTAGAGATCCCACAGATGAAATCTAAAATTTTTGAAGATGGGAAGAAGAGAGAGCAGCTGTTCCGACAGTCTCTGGCTCAGAGTGAAAGCGGGTTGGTCTCCCATCCTGTTGGTAATTCTGTTGCTCCATCAGAACCTGGGAGTAAAAATGGCTCTTGGGCAAATGCAAGAGAATCATTTCAAAGAGTTCATCCACTATCAAATCAAGACACTGACCATTTGGATGAAGAACTAGATCTTCTCCTGAATCTGGAGGCTCCCATTAATACAGAAAATAGACCTGTGTCAGGTACATTATCCTGCACCATCTCAACTGAGAAAGATTTGAAAATGGATTGTAAGGAAAATGGTAAGTAAGTTTTCTCCCCAGCATGACCTTATTTAATTTTCACTGGTCTCTATTTTGGTGATGTTTTTGAATTTTTGATTAGCCAGTCAACAGTGCTGCTATCATAATTTCTGTCAGACTGCATTTCATTTATCTGGGGCTGTGTTCTGGCCCATTTGTTCATTTTCAGTTTTAACTCCTCACTAATCTGAAGTTTTACCATTGTCAGTTCACTTTAAACACTAAGTGAAATTCCTCTGCAAAACAGCATTGGGCTAATGATTTAGCAAAAATTTAAATTTAAAAAAATGTGTTCTGCTAGAGAGTGTACTGCTATTTTATTGCAGGGAAGATAAAGTATTTGTATCAACTTTTAGTTCACTGTGCTAATAGTGTACAGAAGAATTGACAACTATTTCTGATGGCTTCTCCTAAATGCTACTTTCAAACTTTACTAGCATTGATTTTACAAAATGAAGTTTAGCATGGAAACTATTTTTGGAATATGACTTGCTGTTCTTCAGGAAGGAGGGATTGTGTTTAAATACAGTCAGTTGTGCATTGAAAGCAAAATGATACAAGACAGAGGTAGTATGGATTGGTTTCCAGATTTTCAGTCTTCTTGTTTTTGCTTCTCTAGAGCCTTTAAAAGTAGATATGCCTGAAGAGAAGAGCACATCATCACAGCAGCAGCAAAGTACATCCAAAGATGTTACTGAAGAAGAGCTTGAAGATTGGCTGGACAGCATGATCGCCTGAAGCTCAAATTTCCTCATATGAATAATTGAATATAGCAAACATAATGTAGAAACTTGAATCTTTCTTTATCTCCTTGTTATTTCCTTTTTCTGTCTGCCAAATGCCTGTTTTTCTTTGCTGGCACTTAAAATATTGTGCAACCAAAATGAATTTAGATAAGATTGAAAATTGTTGAAGACAAATGATATTATTAGAAAGGTCTAAAATTTGTGATAGAGTTTTCTTTGCTAAAAAAGCAGACTACAGTGCAGAAATAGAACAGTTATTTCAGCTTGTACTTGTTCTATGTAGTCCTTAAAATAAAGCTGTGGATGAACAATGAATATATGTGTTTTTAGTTACCATTGTCAAAAAACTCTGTGTTGTACAAAAAATGGGAAAGAAGACAGCAACAGTTATATTTGGTTTATAATACTTTATTGCAGAGGGCACTTTTTATTAGAAGAAAAAAAAAAGCATAATCCTAGCAACTTCTACTTGCAGGTGACCATACAGCATTGTTTTATTTTGGCCTAAGATTTAAATTGTGTTCATTTTGATACAGTGTATGTCTTTTAACAGCAGCATCTAATAAGCTGTTATTGAAGGTAGTATATAAACAAACTTTAAGTGCAATTTGATACAGAAAGACAGAAAAGCAATACAGTTAATGGGTCTGTTCATCTAGAACACTAACAAAAAGTTTGCATAGCTATGTCTACAGAGGTTTTAAGGCACTTTAATGTTTCAAGGTTGACAAAGTGTTTGAAAATGATTTCTTTTTAACTGCTTAAAGCTTTTCAAACGGTATCTTCATACATTCACTAGCAAATACTGTGGGGAAAAACTGGACAGCAGTTAGTTGAACTATTTTTCTGAGGTACAGTCTCTGATGTTCAAGTTCTTCACTGTCAGATGTGCAATAAAGATGCCTTTTAGCCCTTTCAACTGTACTGCCAAACACCAGGTTAATGGTGTAGTTAAAAAGTTGTTATAATTTTAGGCCATGTTTGAACTGGAAGGCTTGAGTTAATCTGGCATAGTTTTTGCTAATTAAAATTCCAACAAAAGACCTGTTTCATATGTGGTAGGTACAAAAAGCCTCTGAAATAGTGTCAAATTTTATGTGTGTCTTGAACTTTGAAGACATTTAAAGCAAATACAAGCTGTGAAATTATGCCGTGAAAAGAACAGATTTTTTTTTTTTGTATACTGGATCTTAGCAGTTCATGAATAAATCATTTCTTTTGTGATATTAGCCAAGCTGATCCTCATACTGTTTTCGGAAGCAGTCCCCTGCCGGGAAAAAATCCCAACATCTTTCTTGGTACATCTTCCACACAAATGATTCCTGAAAATGAGAAGGAGTATTTATTTTACCAGTCACTGTGCAGTTAGTGCTGTAGATAAACTTTTAACAATAACCACATATTGTGCCTGCTACCATGGAGTAGAATTTATAGACACTGGAACTCGAGATATTGTAACTCAATAATGTTTATAAGAGTTTTATACTTCTCTTAATTCAGTACTACTGAAATTTAAGCTCTATTAGTAAAACACCAAAGTATAAATTAATCAATCTCTTTATATCAGAGCAAACCTGTTGACAAATTTGTATATAAGCAAATGTATTTTGCTTTGAATGGAAAACAAAGGTACTTCTGTGGCATTTGCCTAAGAGCTTCTTATTAGAGAGAAGATATCATTAAGTTCTAGTTATTTTCTTATTTGTTTACCTTTAGAGCCTAACAATGCTAATATATGGTCACCCAAATGCCTATCTATCTACACAGATATATATAGATTTTGACTATCAATATAGTAGCTTAACTACTTAAGCCTCTTGGCAATAAACTAAACCTGGTGCACTTGACATTTTCAGAGATAAGATGACAGTAAGATTACTACTAACTGACTTCTGACAGAGTTCTCTGCAGTGAAGCAGTGCAGCATTCCCCTCTCCCTTTTGTTTTAACCCTTCTTTTCTTTCACTGGCAGTAGCCTCTTGGGGAGAGTGGCATCATCCACACTTCTCAGCGGTACATCAGTTCCACCTGCTGGTACAGAGCTACAAGGCTTGAGAAGATAAAAATGTTGAAAGATAAGCTTAATGGTTTTTCTTAAGTTTTATTTTCTACTCACCTGGCCAGTATGTTCAGTTTCATCCTTGTTAATTAGATACATTAAGAAGAACCTGAAACAAGCACATGAAGTGGGTATTAATGGAGGAAACATGATCTCTCTGCCTGACCTTTTCTAGTCTGGGGTATGTGTGGAAGATAATGCCAACCAGCAAAGCAATGACATTACTGGGCATCTAAAGTGCTTAATTTAAGGGAGAAAATTCTGTCTTGAAGCATGTCTCCTGTGAAAGTGCTAGCAGATAAAAAATCTGTAGAAGTAGAAAAATGCAATTTAGCATTTCCTTCGTTTCAGTGTGAGGAGCAGTACCTGAATTAGACATATGCCAAATTCTGAGCACATATGCTCCAACATGTCACCTTGGAAGAGGTTACCATGGCTACTGCATGAGAAGTGTGGTAAATACTAAGCTGCACCAGGAGTTCTGAGCACTGCTGCTATACAGCTCATAGGCTGAGCCTATCCTTCCCCAACACCTGAGCTCAGTCAAATGTTGAGAGCTTCAACTAATTAGGAAGACTGTAGAGAGTCAACTGTGGTCTGTTTAGAGGTAATACTAGTCATGATTGGTCAGTTTTGGTGCAGGGAATTTGGAATGAGGCTATGTGCTTTCGTTGTGAAGGAAGGAAAGTACACTGATTTTAACTAATTAATTAAAGGGTAATCTGGATAAAAATATGTTCACTATATATTCTATTATGAAGAAAATGGCCATTTTTAAATTACGGTGAATTAGAGGTTCCCATGTAATAACTAAGCAATTTGATACAGTAAGAAAAGCTTGGATGTTGTAGACTAGTAAAACTAGAAGAAGTTCAGATGCAGTATTCCAAAGCCAGCCTGCTATAAGATTTCACCAGCTTCTCCTTTCATTCTACTGGTGCAATTCTTGTATAATTAACTATCTTTGTTGTATGAGTAACTAATGCAACAAGAATAACTTTTTTAATATCCTCTTACTAATGAAATGCTAATATCCTCACTTACTATTGAAAGTGGAAGAGCACTCTCTTGGGAGTTTGATACAGTCTAAACATGTGCAGCTCCTGAGTCCTTCAAGGTTTCAAAATGCTCCACTGCCACTAAAGAACTATAGGAATGGAGTTAACTATTTTTGGAGCTTATCTTTGACCAACTTTCTACAAGTGCCTTTATTTGCTTTGTTTTGGTTTGGGTTTTCTTTTTTTTTTAAATTGAAGCCAGTTTTCTCTGGTCTCATCAGCATTACTAAGTCACCAGAAGTCACAACCAAAATTTCCAAACTAAAGCAACTTATTAAACTGTTCCCTATACTTCCCCATATCTGGCTTTCCTTCCAGCAGAATAAGGAGCTGATGTTCCTTCTGGTCTTATACTACTAAGGTACTTCATGTATAAGGTGAGCACCTTAAAGGTAATAATCAGTATGGAATAGAGGAGGGAAGACCCTAAAGGAGAGGAAATATTCCTCAGTTTTCTAGAAATCTGGCTTGGGATTTTCAGCAATGTGTGCACCTAAATGACACTACATCTGAAAGGTCTCTTTATCATAATTCCAATTGTAAAATGTACTTACAGATAGTTTGCCAAGTTATGTTCTTGCAAAGTATGAGTTTCAAAGCCATGTGGAGTTGTGTCAAAGTAGTCATTGCCAATTCCACAAATAAAGCATTTGGTCTGAAAGCAAAAGTTGTGGTTATAGATTAATTTTAACTCAAAAACACTAATTGGTGACAATCTAGGTGAACAAGAGCAATGAAAAATGTAACGTGCTTCCTACCTCCATGTCCTCCCTCACTTGTTCTTGCTGGTCTCTTAATTCACCAAAAGCATCAATAATCAGACCTGTTTCAAATAGAAAAGTAGCAACACTTCAGTACTTAGCAATATTCATATTGCAAGTAATGTCATTCCTCCAGTGTCTAGAATTTAGTGTACTTATACATACAGGCACAATCTTGAGAGTGGAAAGACTTTTCTGTGCTTTTTTATTAAAAAATAATATTATTTAATAATATATTATATAAATAATATTATTATTTAATAGTTCATTTAACCATACACAAACCCATCTCTTTTGTTCCCATAAATGAAATTAATTTTCACTCTCCTTCTCATTAAACTCTTCTATCCCAAGTCTTTTTCAACATAGACAGCTCTGCATTACTCCTCCACTTTCAATGTTTTAAGAAAAGAATTGGATAATAATTTTGGAGACTGTGACATTTGTAACTTTTGCTCAGTATAGATGTGCTACATTTTTTTCTTTGCCACAAGGTTGCAATAAAACAGTGTGGTTTTTTCCATCAGCCTTAGAAGAGTATATGCAATGAGTGTTGAATGCTGCCCATCACCGAAGAGGGGTCTTGTTTGCTGTAAACCACAACTGCAACCCAATTAAAACTGCAAATCGGCCTCTGAAGAGAGGAGGAAATGGAGGAATGTTTTCTGGAGTCACATTAGACATCAGGATGTTAAATGGCTATGTGCCCATGGTGACTTTTTCCATGTCATTTACCCTTTCCAACTGCAAAGTCTCCATTTCCCAGACAGTTGTGGCGATTCCAGGCTAAAAGTGAGAAGAGTGTCTTCAGCAAGGCTCTCCAGAGTTTTAAATGCTTAGTATAGGAGAACAGTGCTCCTGCACAAGGTTCATCATTGCTGGATAGTTACAAACGTGTTCATAAAGACTGCAACCCATCTACATTACATTCCTAGTGCTTTGACTTTGTGTAGTACTTGGCAAAAGGCATATTATGTATAAATTAATATAAAATTATTACTTTCAGAAATAAGGATTTTATGAATTCAGGAATAAGTCTTTACAGCAATACTGCTAAATTTACCTCAAACATAAATATAGTTTTCAATGGTGAATTAATTTTGAACAATGTCTACTAAGGTAAGTGATGGTACCTTGAATAATGGCCAGTAGGATAACAATGACAAAGAAGAAAAATGTGATGTCAAAGACAATTCGGTACATTTCATAAGGGTCTCCAGCAGGATCCTCAATTTCATCTCCAATGCCACCACCAGCTCTTACACCCACATACATGTGGAACAGGTAACACTAAAAAAGAGAGAGGAAAATTACAGATACATTTACCATGAACTATTCTTTTGGGATTTTCTTTCTTGTTTTTTAAATTATTCTGCTCTGTTAATTCTCTTGACAATTTAAGTAACAAACAAATAGTAACAAGAACACATAATATCA